CTGAATGTGTTTTTTGACTCATGAGTGTGGGGTGGCAGATAAAAGCAGTAAGCCAATAATCAATGCTTCTCTGAACAGCAGGCTTAGGGTAAAACCCAGATGAAATACAAGAGCTAGAGAGGTAAAAGTAGGCTTATAGGAAATGTGGATTTGTCCCCTCAGTACATACAGTACATACAGTAAATGCTTTTTTTTCTGTGTGCACATTGTTTACACATTTTCAGTCAGATATGCAGAAGATGCAGAGGTGTGTATTTGTGTTTGCTTGTGGGAAGGATGTGGCTTCAACCACTCAAGGTCAGCTCAGTGTTAAAGGCTCGTTAACACATTCCTGCTGATCTTTGATCAGTATTGAGTGACACGTGTCCTCTCTGACCTCTTCGATTTGAACAGCACATGCTTGACCCTGGACCTGCAGTGAGTCGCTATCTATATTGAGAATAAGACAAGTAAGCAATATTTGCTTGTTGCAGGGGTCTTCAACCTTATTTGTGACCCCTGTTACAGAATAAAATTGAGTGCTTAATTTTAATCCTGGCTTATAATAACATGCATGTGTGGCGTGGTGGTGCAATTTTAAGGCACCAGCCCAAGTTGGTACTGGTAAGAAAATCCGACTACGCCACCCTAGGAATTAAACCCAGGGAAAAATACTCAAACCACGCAAATTGGGTAATAAAGCACACAGGTTCAGTTCCCTCAAAGAATTAGGCAAGAGACATGGGTAAAGTATCAAACAAATACAAATGTTTATTAATACAGGAATATATTTGCTTGTTGCAGGGGTCTTCAACCTTATTTGTGACCCCTGTTACAGAATAAAATTGAGTGCTTAATTTTAATCCTGGCTTATAATAACATGCATGTAAGGCAATAATAATGTATTTACATGCTTTTTTAACATTCAAATAATCACAGTATACATTACATTACATTTTCACTTAACTTCATTATTCATTTCTTCGTTTTATTCTTGGAGACAAAGAAACATTTAACTTTAGCTTTTTTCAGGCATTCATATGTCTCAGCGAATGAAAAGCAATCTTTTCTTCCATCTTACACACCTCTCTCTCACTCGCTTTTGGCATGTAGGTCATTAGATATTCTACACCTCACACATTCACAACTCGGTGTCTCAGCTCAATAGCAGTGGCAGACATTAATTATGAGTTTGCTGTTTGAAAAAAGCCATGTGTTATTTGTATGCAAATCACAGGTGAAAGCATGTGTGAATATTTAAATTACAGACATTTATGTAGCTGCTGGCACCAGTAGTGATTGCTTGAGTCTTTGTTCTTGTGTGTGAATTGCGCAGTGGGTCATTCATCATGAGTGGACATTGTTGTTCTAGACAGACTTAGTAAAATTGTTTCTATGCATCTGTGGATAGTAACACAGAAATCTGCACTGAATTTACATAATAAAAGTTCCACTCAGGTTCAATCTTATGGTGCATTAAACCACAACAAGAGGAAGAGCCCAAGAAGAGTAGTAGATAGGATATCACAACATAATGACTGATTCATCTCGTATATGGTGCTGCCACAGACACAGTGGCCTGTGCTGTTTGTTACAAATTAAATGTTTAATAATTACATTTTCATAGGGGGAAATTGTTGTTGTTGTTGTTATTATTATTATTATTATTGTTATTAATGTTGTTGTTGTCATATAATTGCAGAATACAATTTCATGTATGGAGATAAATATTTATGACTGAAATTCTCCTGCCATTGGCAAAAAGTTAATTTTGGACCTGTGTGTGTGTGTGAGGAAAGAGAGGCAGACTACAAAAACAGCTTTTAAACGAAGGAATATTTGTTTATTCAAGCTTTCAGTGGACAGTATTGCTTGAAACTAATATAACAAAATTCAGCAAAATATTCTAAACTTCTTTTCCACATTATCTGTGCAGCTTTATTCATGACTACCTCCTGCTTGTCCTCGCACATCGTTATTTATTTGATTTTGCTTCTCATTAAAGAGAAAGCAAAAACAAGAATCACTATTGAAGTGGAATACCCTACGGCCATTGAAATAAAAAGTATCTCTGGACTCAAACTCGCTTTGGAGTTTCACATGCACAAAGACCACAAAAAGATACTGAAGGCAGGATTCTCTAAGAATAAATTGCACCCACTGATAGTTTCATTTAGTTTGCATGCACTATTTACATTGCATTTAGCATCCGTTTCACTAAAAAATATAAAGGAAATAATCAGGTAGCAAGTAACAGTGCAAACATGCACAAAAATTTTGTTGAACGCAATTTGCATGACACAGTTTCCAATCTTTCAGCACTATTTGGATGCCGTTGACCACTGCAAACGTTTACCCTGAAAAGAATCCCAATTTCATGGCACCATTTGCTATGAGTAAATGTCATTATTTAAGCTATATAAGACTATGTATAGCTTAAATAAGACTATAATAGAAACATAGATAGTAAAATAATAATTGTAATCTAATTGCAACTTTTAGAAAATTTAGCGTCAAGTTAATATGGATTGCATTTGATTAGTGAAAACATTTTGAGCTGAAATGCATGCAAAAGTGGCAAAAATACTTAGTGAATTCACCCATAGTCTTCGGCGGAAAAAACAGCTGTATATTTTTTGGTCACTGTTACTTAACAAAAAATTGCATTTCCTTTCATCCAGAGTTGTTCTTAAATTTAATTTTGTGGGTATAATCAGTATATTTTCATCCCATTCACATCCCACATTTTTGCTAGGCACAGATAATGAGGGGAAAAGCTATAAACAAAAACAGGCTGAAAAATAATACTTTCATTATGGTGCTGGGGCTCTGGGGCTGTACTCAACCTCCAGAAGAAAACTAAAGATTATTAGCTGGGTACTCCACAAGATCAGGCTTAAATGGTATCCTGCTTCGTTATGGTTTGGGCTCTTGCCTTGCTTAAGTGCACAAATGGTTGCTTAAATTCATGTGTTGAAATGTTGGTAAGGTATTCACTTTCTCTGGAAATATAAAAGACATAGAATGAGGAGATATAGAAGACTTAGATATATGGAGACATAGAATGTTATGTGATTCATCCCGGTTCTGTGTGCATTTGTGTGTTTGACAATGTTTGTATGGGTCGATATTCCCCAGTTCACACTTTGACTTTGTTGACATTGACATTAGATTAAAGCAAACATGATTTGTCCATTTTATACGCTTTTCAAATAGTTAGGATCACTTGAAATGTCAGTTTTTGACATGCTTCACTATATTTGTGAAGACGTTTTAGATTTGTCCCAGGTATAGCTGAACCTACACATACTCTCTTTTACTGTTTCTCTGTTTACAGCATTAGTTGAATAAAGAATAAGAGTAGTTTTTTTTTTAACTACAGGAAACATGGTTGAATTCAGGTACAAATGGTGTGTAAATAGTGGTTCATTTGTGTTTTGTGAAGATTACTTTTTATCATTTATTTGGTGAATATTGTTGAAAATCCTTTTATATTGTTGTGCCAAGTGTGCAATCTTTTGATTGATTAAAGGTTCTCTCTCTCTTTCTTTATCTCTCGTTCTCTCACACACATACATTTGTTTTCTTCTCCTCTTTCACATCCTCTGACAGTAATATACATTGCTAATGAACTGTACTTCCTTTGTTCCTTTGTTCAATACCACTGAGTGTGTGTGTGTGTGTGTGTGTGTGTGTGCCACATTCACCCTTTGATTTTGTTTCAATTAACTAGGCCATTATCTAATTGCATTACAGACCACTAGCTATGTGTTTACCTGAACCATTTACAAACATTATTAATTCATCAGCTGACCCAGCACCAGACTGCAACCAGTGTGGAATAAGAACAGCTCTGTGCAAAAGAAAAGATCTCTGCTAATGCTTAATTAATACACATAGTGAATCAGGCATAAACATTCATTTAGATTAAGCAAAATAGGCGCTATTCTAGCTACAAAAAATGCAATTAGACAATGATGAAAATGTATTCAAACCTGAGACTTTAAATAGTTCACCCTCACATTCAGACAGAATCGCCATATCTGTATCTATGTATACAGCAATTCTACTTGAATGTGAGGGAACTATCCAAAGTCTCAGGTTTGAAAACATTTTCATCCTAACTGCTTTTTTTCTAGAATGTAGCTACTGCTGTATAGAGATAGATACGGATATAGATAGATAGACAGACAGGTAGATCTCTGAATAGAGTTTATGTACCTTTGCTGACGTTACCCTATGCTACTGCTGACAAGTAGAAGATCTATACAGGTATTTTATGTTAAATGCTTGACGGTATGCGGTTTTGTGCTTGTTTTTGACATTTTCATGCCAAATCATTAGCGCATCTCCTGTCTTTCGAAGAAATGTCAAAGCCGCTTCATAACCACCATATGTTTTACATCCAGCTAAGAACATAAAACACATTTTTAAGTCTTTCTCCCCCTCTCAAAATCTCAAAAATAAAATTCGAAGTGGTTTATCAACTTTGTTAAGCAGCTTAGCTATAAAATTAGCATAGTTCCTGTCAGCTAAAATAGCACCTCGCTTTAGTCCCTGAAGTGATTTGCTAGATATTTCCTAAGGTAGTTTTGAGAGCATATTGGTATTTGTGTTTAATGCTCTTCGTACAGCCATTTTAATAAATTTAATCTAATTATACGTGTTTTTTTAAAAACTCTGAATCAAGTCTGAAAGATTTTAACTGAATGAATTAAGGAAGGATTGATTTGGATCATTAGAAACTGTGTCTCATTGGCAATCAATACATCTACATCATAATGGATTAAAATGAATCAAAGCAGATTGCTTGATATTGGTGTGAGTGCTAAGTGGGCGAACTTCTTTCATGGATAAACATTTCAAAAGCAGAAAGATCAGCTAATTAATTACGCAGCTGTGATTGTCAGATAAAAGTGAGATTGCTGTTTCAAGTTTGTCTAATGAATTCTACTCCACTTCAGGGTTTATTCATTAGTTAGTGCTGATAACTGCTCTCTCTCTTTCTCTCCTTCTGTTAGTGTGGATTTGGTTCACGCACAGCTGCGTGTGTGTGAGGGCCGTAGTCTTCCTGAGCTGGGTCTCGAGCAGAACAAGATCCAGATCAATGGCTGTGCCATTCAGTGCCGGGTCACTACAGAAGACCCTTCCCGTGGTTTTCAACCAGACACAGGTCGCATAGAGGTATGCCTGCTAAATGACATGCAGTTATGCAAATTACAGTTACACCTCCCCAATTAATAATAAAGGATGTGACAGATTGTGAAGTAACAGGAAGCAAAATGTGAAGGCAACAAAAAACAAAAAAACAAATCACTTATACTAGTCTATTCAATAACATCTATATTCATAGTAAAATAAATGTATTTTCTTTCCCTCAAATTTTGTTTGTTATATAGCTGCTTTTACTTTTTTTGGAGTTGAAACCAAGAAAATCTGCAACTAAAGCTACAATCACATCGTTTTACAATCTGGCCATTACAGGGGCCGCGCTCATATATCTGGATGCGCTCTGCATTCATAAACATTAAAACACACAAAAACTCACAACATTTTCAAAAAGGCGTTATTTTGATGATTCATCGAGCTGTGAGCATTGATTGAAAGCAATTTTTAAGGAGCGCTCTTATTGAGTTGAAAGAGGGAACTAGACCTCTGCATTGCTCAAACTGACGCACTGTTCTGTTCCAGTGGCAACATTATAATGTTACTGAGAACACCATCACAAGAGCAGAACAAGCTCCATTCATCTGTGTTGAGTGCTGCTGAGAAACTGCATTTAACTCTCTTCTTATGTACGAAGAATTCTGGCTTTGTATAATACAATTTCCACTGTGGATGGACTAAAAAACCTCAGCATGTTAGAACAGGGTATGAGTAATTGGCCTTCATTACTTAAGTCTTGATTTGAGGATTTTGTACTTCACTCAAATGCTAATCAGACAGAATACTTGCATTCAAATATGTTTGTAAATTGTATATATACACTTTTTTTTTTGTCATTTAGACCTTTAATTGTCACTCGTATTGTCATCAGGTAGGTCGTGCTGACTTTTTCATTCTACTAAATGCCAACCAAAGAGTGTTCCTGGGTATTTTATTTTGACTTTTAAATAAAATTCAATGAAACCAGTTTCAACAGGTAGCTGTACTAACTGTAATTGCATCATGACTTTGAAATGTGACGTGCCTAAAGATTCTCACCTCAAGTTTAAGTGTTATAAAACTTGCTTTGATATTAGGTGATGTAGCCACACATTTCATATTTTATCTTCATCTTTCATCTCTGGATTGGAAACTATTTGACATATCAAAATAGCATTAGTAAAAGTTTAGGAAGTTAGAACAGAGTGCCTGCGGAAACATTCATCTTTCTTTTTTCTTATGTTCCAATAGCTGCACAAGTTTTCTATTAAAAAGTGCAATTGCGATTTAAAATTCCAACTTGTTTGTAGGACTACAGACTTTGGCCAAAATGTTATGATTAATCAATAATGGCTATTAATAAATATGGCTATACAATAATAATAATAATAATAATAATAATAATAATCACCATTATTATCAATTTATGTCATATTATAATTAAAATTACAATACTAATATTAATGGCTGTCTTTTATTTTAACAGAAAACCACAAGGAACTCTTAAAGCTTCTCTTGTGCTTCTAATTAAAAATATGGAAAGATGGCAGCCACATGTTGTTTACCAAATGTACGTTAAAGCGACTCAAACTCAGTGACAAACTCACACTGTGCCGCATTTCGCTCTGAAACACGCAGCACATATAATTATTTAATTAAATTGCAGCTTTTGCGATTTGATAATTGCACTAAACCATATCGTGATTTTGGTTTTATTTCCATTTATTGTGCATCCCTGTGTTCTCAAATAATGAACGTGCATGAATGACAAAAAAAGTTAACCACTAAGTATCTAACCTAGTATCTAACTAGCATTAAGTGATGATTGTCAGTGAGTTAGATGTGTGAAATGCATCTGTTTATCCTACTTTTAAAAATAATAATGATAAACGATACTATATATAATACTTCTAAGTCTTTCTTATTACCATCCTTATTTCTTATATGACAAAAAGAAGCTTGGACATTCTGCCCGGCATCTCATGGGGGTAAAAACAGGGATCAAACTATATGGAGATGCCTGGTGACAAAATTAGCTTTTTTGTATGAACTATTAATGTGTCCTATATCTCTAATTTACAACTATCCGTCCTCTCCTTTCCTCCCACTTCCTCTGTTTGCTTAATTTTCTCTTTCTTATTTTTTCTTCCCAGCAGGTAGAACAGCAGACATGATCAGAGAGTGGGGGACTCAGCAAACATAGATGTAGTTCAGCCATGAAATGTGTGTACCTAAAAAAAAATACACTGTGCATGGCCAAACATAATAAATCCTGGGTTGGATGAATAAGTCATGGCTTAAGTGCTCCAGAGAGGTGGAAGAGATGCACAGAGGGAGGAAAGACAGAGAAAACTCAGCGAGAAAGGGCTTAACACGTCTGACCCAGCAAGAGATCATAGCATTTTAGTTGAGTGAGAGAGAGAAAGAGAGATAAAGAGGTGAAGAAAATGAAAGAATGACTCCCCGAGCACAGAAATGCACACAGTCCTTCTGAGAAACAGTGGGATACAGAAGGAAGATGGGGACAGTTGAATTAAAACGCTGTTGACAGTAGATTTCTCGTTGCTTGGCTTTTGGAGACTGTCAACTCACACTTTATATTCTTAGGAGTTGAATTTACTTACTAATTTGAGAAACTTGTTCCATCAAATGAAGTAACGACATCACTGAAAACTTGTCATGTAGTTCATCTAATGTGGTCTTCTAAAAGAGTCAACTTAACCATTTCATTGAAGTTGTTTAATTGTAGGTAGATCTAGTTAATTGTTTCTACTCAATCCTTTCAGTTGATTCACTCTCATTAACTAAATTACAGTCATCATATTAATTATATTGTAGTTTTACTGACTCTGGCTCAGTCAAACATGATAGATTTATCCAATATTTATGTGTGCCTAAAACAAATTTTTGAGGAGCAAAATTACTTCAAACGGTTTCCCACTTTGTTCAAATTGAACCCTAATCACCCTAACGGTGAATGCGTTTAAAAAAAAAAAAATCTGGAGTACTATTAAGAGCAAAAACTATTAATTCTTAAAAACAATTATGTGCCCCTAAATTCCTGCCCTTTTATCAAGCATACAGAATTAAATTATTCAAGTGTAGAGGCTTATGTGTGTTCCCCCCAGCTACAGTGCTCAGAAGCAGACACAACAATATGAAGTTCATTGCAAAGCCTTAGCTTTATTAAGGATTTATCATTCAGTCCAATTAGCTGAAACAGAAAACATATGGATTCAACAAGTTTCTACCAGCCAGAGCAATATTTCTTCCAAATAAAGAAATACTGCAGGGAGGGCATGTTGTTGTTATTCAAAATGAACTCATACACATAAGTTAGTACGGCCAGTCAGATCAAAGAGAGAGTGTTATTTTACAATTTATTGCATTTTATGAACACTTAAGGTTTAATTTTATGATTTATGTGATCCAAATACTTTCAGGAAGAATTTTCCCCACTCCTTCTTTCTTTCTTTTTAATTTTAATTTATTATTATTATTTTTTTTGTTAATCTTTTTTTACCCTCGCCTACTTTTGTACTACTTGTATCAGATTATTCATTTGGTCATTTTGTAAAGGTGACAGGACACAAAAATTATGGCTCCCAAATTTCCAATCACAGTAGTTGCTTTAAACATGCCAGGCTATATGCTTCTTTATTATGAGTTTTGCTTTTGTTTTGTTTTGTTTTGTTTTGTTTCGTTTTGGATAAGAGATATGGATCAATGAATAAGAGATATGGACTCTGTTCACACAGTCAATGTTTAAGATTGCGACAATCAGTGAGTTGTCAACTATATGATTTCTGCTCATTCAGCACATATCATCCAGACTTGGTCTGTGGTTATCGAACCAAACTCTTTTTTTCACAACAGAACTGTTTGTGAACAGTTTTAGCTGTCTGATCATGAATGGTAATGGTTTTCTGCAGCATGAACAGTCACTGTGAATCGTGCCCCATCTGCGTGAGACCTTCACATGCACATTCACACACACTTCCTCCATGCAATCAGTATAAATTGAATTCCTCTCTCAATCACATATCTTTTACTCTCTCCCTCACTATACTCCACCTCCTCACCCCATCAGCCTTTTTCTCTCAGCGAGGATGAAATGCTACCTTACAGCGCATGTGGAATGCAAAAATACATTAGTTAGCACAGACGATCTCAGTCGCGATATTAAAACAATCTGTGGGCAACACACTCTGAGCAGAGACTCCCAGCTATACCGTAGAGCTTATGTTTTACTATGCATATACAGTAGGATCCAAAAGTCTGATATCATATTGAAAATCTGAGAGTTTTTCCCATTTATACCTTGAAATGAACAAAGTTGCAGTATTTATACTGAAGACACATTACGAAATAAAATTAAGGAAATCTATTTTAGATTTTGCACAGTTTCTAAGTCACTAGTCATGTATAAGTAAAGTTGCAACATTGCTCATGTGACTCTTTGTACAGACAGACAGACAGACAGACATTCTTGCAATGAAGCTCCAGGTGCACTTTATATCACCTCAAATAATGAGAAAATCATCAGGTTTTTCACAAATGTATGGACTTAAAGTTAAATTCATTAAGTTAATGTTGAAACTTTTCATACAAATTTCCATGATGACAGTATAGTTTGGAAATGTTCAGATAGAAGCATATTCAATAGCTCAGTCTTATGAATCCAACTGTACGTATATTATATGCACATACTCCGCCCACTGCAATTATTATGCAGAGCTGGTACACACAGAATCATATATTAACAGATACAAGCATCATGTGTGTGCTTAGACGGCTTTGCTTTGTGGTGTTAACCCTCAAGCAGGAAGATAAAAAAAAGGCTTAGAAATTAAATGCTGTTTTCCAAAATGTTAGGAGTCAGGTAATGAAGGAAAACATTTCAAATTTTTCCTTCAAAATACTGCTTTTATTTCCATTTTTACAGCTCGTATCTCCCATCAAAATAAAATGTAGAAGATTCAACTGAAGGGTTAAAGTGAAAGCACAAAGATACCCATATTAGTATTCATGCAGTAGCT